GAAATTAATATTTTCTTTCAGCTCTATTTGCTCTTGGAATATATACCACTGTCAATGAAAGTCATATTGTGTTCTAAATCAATTATTTTTTCTGTGTTCTTATACTATCAATGGCTGTTTAGTTAGGTTCATTTGCTTTCATTCATTTTTGAGACTTTAGAGTCTTTTTTATAAATTTTATTAATATTGTTAACATTATTCCACAAAGCTATATAAGGCAGGGCTGGGGCTGGGGCTAGGCAGTTGCACACTTGCCTGGCATGTGTGAGGCACTGGGTTCGATTCTCAGCACTGAATATAAATAAAACACAGGTCTATCAACAACTAAAAAAATATTGAAAAAACTACATAAGCCAAATCCAAAGAAAGCTCAGCTTTTCATTCCAATCTTCACACTGTACCCCCCTCCCAGTTTTTAAATTTCACTTTTGGTTTATTGAACTAGTGTTTCTGTTTCCAAAGAATAGCAAATACAAATATCTTTATACCCCACCCTTCTCTTCCTCATTCATTTTTGTGGTAAATATTCCATTGTTTTAAGAATGGCTTTTTTCTTTTTAACAGCAAGGATGGTTAATACTAGCTCAGAACTAATGAAGCTCTGGAGAGATGAAGAACCACTTCTTTTAAATAAAACTGCTCTTCAATGAGAACACTTTTCCCAAAGTCCATTTTTTTTCTAAAAGAAATGACCATTTTAAAAAAGTTTTTTTTTTCCTTTTAAAAAACACATTTTCTATGTCTCTCTAAGCAGCCAGGAAAGAGTTTAACGCAATTTGGGGGGAAGATTGTACTTCACCATCTGTCAGCTTCAATGCCACGCTGCCAGATTTGTCCTGTGTAGGACTGACCTTCGGTTCCAAGGCTGCTTAGATGAGGTGGGCACTTGCGGCTTGCTGGTGTTCTGCACCTGAGGCTGGCTCCCTTTGGAGCCCTCTCCAATCTTCTTGGCCTCTCTCCTGGCAGAAGCGCGGAAAACTGTTTTTGGTCTCCTCGMGGTCCCGGATTCCCTGACGCCCCGGCTACCGGCTCTAGGGCGGGGGCTGCCCCGCCTGCGCACAGCGATGCCGGGATTGGGGGCGGGAGCGCCGCCTTCTTCTCCCGCTCACTGGCTCCCGCCCTCCCTCCCTCCCTCCCGGCCCCAGGCCCTTTCCTGCTTCAGCTGTGCAGGCTCCGCACTGCAGATGCCCGCCCGCCTCCCGATGCTCGGCGGCTCCCACGGTGCTCTCAGGTCCTCTCGATCCCTGGAGGGCTGGTTGCTGCTCCTAGGCACCCTCGTCAGCTTGGACTCACTGAGCTCTGCGCCTGAAGCCGCTACCCCGACGAGGCAGCGGGGACCGAGGAGGACATCGGCGGTGCTGGATCCCGGGGTGCTCTTGGATGCGGCAGGACAAGCTGACCAGCTCCCTGAGGCGCGGGGGGAGATGCCTGAAGCGACAGAGTGGTGGCGGCGGTGGCGTGGGCACCATCCTGAGCAATGTGCTCAAGAAGCGCAGCTGCATTTCGCGGACCGCGCCCCGGCTGCTCTGCACCCTGGAGCCGGGTGAGGMCCCGGGGCTGCAGATGGGGTGCTGGAAAGTAGCGTGGCGCCTTGGATGCGGTGCTCCTTGCACCCTAGCCTCCGCTGGACTCCGCTTAGGCCAGGCGCTGTGGCTTGGTGCTGGCGGAGCTCGGTTGGCCTGGGAGGGCACAGTGCGTGGACCAGGGCCTGGGCACCAGCAGTGCCTCCTGAGACGCGAAGAATGGGCTGCTCCCGCCCGCGGACCCCCACCCCGTGGCCTGTGAGCCGGCTTCCTGCGCGAGGTGGGGAGGTGCGGGAGGCTGCCCCCGCGATCAGAGGCTGCGCCACCTATTGTGCTCCGGGCTCGCAGGAAGCCAGACCTTGAAAGAGGTGTGTGGGGTGGAGAAAGGCACAGGGTTGACACCAGAGGTCGGAGGGGAAGGCTGCGACTGCGAAGCAAAAAGCGAATATATGCTTTCCTGAGTGTGCCTGTAATGAGTCCCAGGGTCAGCCTGTCTGAACCCTCTAATTTGAGCCTTGGTGGGGAGCAGACAGGAGATCCTTGCTGTAGGTAAGGTTTGGAAGCACTCCTGGCCGTGTGGTAGGATAGGCCCTTTCTGCCAACAGCCTGTGTTTACACATCCCTGCTTCTCTAGGCTGCATAACTCGGCATCAGCTCCACCACCCAGCGTCTCTCCAGGGCGCTTTAAGAGGCTGGCGCTGCCAGCTGAGTGCAAAGGGAGCCAGCTGTACTCGCAACGGTGCTTGGCGCTCACCTTTCCCTGGAGTGGCCCGGGCTGGGCTCCAAGAGTGTTGGTCATCTACACTGCTCGCCCCTCAGCGACTGCTGGGACCTGTTATCAGCCAGTTGTGGGGGATTCAGCCCAGGCTCTAAGTCCCAAAGGATGGAAAGCATTGCTGCCTTCCGAACCTCGTGGTTTCTTTGTTTTCCTCCCCACGGAAGTGTCTAGTTGCAGAAATTGTAGTATTTATTCGTCATCTTCTTTTACCTCTCTTTAAAAAGGAAAAAAAAATCTCCTTCCCATGTTAAAAGTGTTTTACATTTCTGAATCCTGAGCAGCTGTGATTATCAGATGAAACTTAAACCTTCTTTCCTCCTTTATTCAGTTAGAAGAAAAGGGGGTGAAAATGACCTGATTTAAGCTTTTGTATGCAGGCAGCAGATGATCAATTCCACCTAAATTCTCTGACTCATTTTTGATTATGGGAAAATAGTTGTGGTTTTGGCTAACCAACTCCTGCTGGGTTTCAGCTTGGAAAGGCAATCTGTATGACGCCCAGCAGGTGCTCCAGAAAAGTCAGAGGAGGATATTTGGTCAAACACGTTAAGAAATCTTGCAGTTTTAGGGCAGCAGGAATAAGTCAGCTTGGGACTGACTTATTGGTCTTAATTGCAGTAAAACAAACGTAATGATTATACACTCCTCCGTTCAGCACCCTGCTCCTGGACAGCACCCTCCCAACACAGTTTTGTTTATTAAAATGCCTTTGGAGCTAGAGGCACACTCGGACTTCATTTAAATCATCTTACAGAGATGAGAATCAGTTGGGTACTTAATTTTTCTCCCAAGAAGAAGATCATCTATCCAGGCAGAGTGTGGTTTTGACCCCAAAGCTTTGAAGAGAAATATCAAGGCATTGATATTTCTACCGTAGCTTGACTTTAGAAATCTAGGTCCCAGGGCTGGGGTTGTGGCTCAGGGCAGAGCTCTCATGTAGCTCSAGCSAGGCCCTCGGTTGGATCCTCAGCACCACATAAAAATAAATAMATAAAATAAATAAAGATATTGTGTCCATCTAAAARCTAAATATTAAAAAAGAAAAAAAGAAAAGAAATCTAGGTCCCAATACYGTGTATCCACAGCACTCTTCCAGGGCTCCAAGAAGAACATCTGCATCCTGTCATGGACTTGGGAAAATCAGACACATCTCTTTCTTGATTCTTGTCTCCAAGATTTGTCCTTTAAAAGACCAATCTACTTTGTTATTACTCTTACTATATTTTATAAATTCTAAAGATTGTTCCTGTTCATACCACCCCTCAGCATTGAAAATGTRTAGATTTTCAACATGCCTAACCTGCAACCAATAACTTGTAGGCAAAATATAATTTGATTTCTGTAATKTGTAAAACTGAATGTTATTGATAATGTTTGGTATTTCTTGGACTTAAAAGCAATGTCTTTATTATTATTATTTTTTWAAATTTATACATGACAGTGGAATGCATTACAAACAATAAGTCTTTTAAAAAGTGATTTAAAAGATCATGTACTTGATTTTGAAATTGTAGAAAGAGGATTTATAGTATTTTAAGATATGATTTTATTTTTATAGAATTTAAACATGTAATTTCATTTTAATAACAATACATAATTCTAATACAGAATTTTGAATGAAGACCTTTATATCCTTTCCAATTTATATTCTTCTGTTCCATATATTTGGAATTTCTATCAAAGAAGATTATCTAAAGTTGTTGATTATTTGGGATTAGAGTTCAATTATGTGTTTAGTTTGTAGTTTKTAATTTAATATACATAATGTTTTATCTTCAATGAATAAGTCCATTAAGACAGAATTTAAAAAATATAAAAATCTCCATCAGTCTGGGGTTGTGGCTCAGCGTTAGAGCACTTGCCTAAGCATGTGTGAGGCCCTAGGTTCGAGCCTTAGCACCACTTAAMAATMAATAAATAAAACAAAGGTATTGTGTCCAATTATAACTAAAAAATAAATRTTTAAAAATATAAAAATCTCCAAACAGAATTGTTATAATGGATCAAAAGGAAAGGCAATGACATATATGTGTGTATTTTTTTTCTTCTTCTTTGTTCCCGTGCTGGGGATTGAACCCAGGGCTTTGGCCATGCCTTGTAAGCGCTCTACCACTGAACTACATCCACAGCCCCATAATATTATTTTATAGCTTTGGATATTCCACTAAAGTTATCTTAATAATCTTAGTCCATTCAAGCGTCCTTGAAACTTACAAACTCTAAGTAGAGAATTATCTTCCTACCTTTCATTAATATTGATTACACTGTACCTGGAGATTTACAGTTAGCTATCACAACAGTCCTGAGATAGACATTATTGTTCTAATTTTAAAGATAAAGGAATTGAGGTTGAGACAGGTGAAGCAGTTGGTTTGAGTGTGAGAACCAAGGTTGAATGGAGGTGTGTGTAACTCTGGTCCTGTGGCGCCAGGTTTTGTTTTGTTTTGGCACTATTCCAGGTAGCTGTGGAAATTACCATCCCAGGTGATAAGCTCTATTCTATTGCCATATGGTATCTTCCTGTTTTAATAATGAATACATTTGCTTTTTATTTTAACAAAATTGGCTAAAATTTAGTAATAATATCTGGTTTTAAAAATTTAAACAGTTATTCAGTAGAATCAAGGTTTTATTCATATTTTTGATATGATTTGTCATAGTTTCCATGAATAACAATGATTTACGTATTTTTCTTTTAGGAGTTGATACAAAATTGAAGTTCACTCTTGAGCCATCTTTAGGTCAAAATGGTTTTCAGCAGGTAACTTCATTTTTGCTTTGAATATACTCTTGTTTGGGAGTACTAGTAGGGAACATTGAGATATAGTCTCAAAGTTTGAATATTAGCATGTACTTTGATATGCATAGGAAGATGTCAGAGTTTTTTTTTTTTTAACCCTCGGTTTCAAGTAAAATAACTTTTGAAGCTACACATGACAATTTTTGCATTTTCTTTTTTTGGGGCACTGGGTATTGAACACAGGGGCACTTAACCACTGAGCCACATCCCAGCTCTTTTTTATATTTTATTTRGGGACAGAGTCTTGCTAAGTTACTGAGGCTGGCTTTGAACTTGTGATGCTCCTGCTCCAGTCTTCTGAGCTAATGGGATTACAGGACTGTGCCATCATGTCTGGCCAGTTTTGCACTTTCTATAAATGGTAAAATTGTGAAAATTTTTTTAGCTTTATTTTATTTATATGTGCAGCTGAGGATYGAACCCAGTGCCTCACACATGCTAGGCAAGTGCTCTACTGCTGAGCCACAACCCYAGCCCTGAAAAAGTTTTAATAACCAAATATTTATTATTCTGAACTCATAGTACATGTTTTGATATATATACTTATTTGTGTGTGTGTATGTGTGTGTGTGTGTGTGTGTATATATATATATATATATCTCACAACATATATTTTGTTACCAGGGATTGAACCCAGGAGTGATTAACCACAGAGCCGCATCCCCAGCCTTTTTTAGTATTTTGTCTATAGATAGGGTCTTGCTGAGTTGCATAGGGCCTCAGGCCTCAGTAAGTTGGTGAGGCTGACTTTGAACTCACAGTCCTCCTGCCTCAGCCTCCGGCTGGGATTTCAGGCATGCACCACTATGCCGGGCACATGTTTTGGTTTTTGAGTTTCCCAATTGTTGTTTGTTTACTGCAAATGAGTCAAAGATGTGTTTAGAATACCATAGGTGTGGGTTTTGGGGGCAGTCTTATCCCCAGACCCATAACTGCCAGCTGCAAGAAGCTTTATTTATCCTAGTGTGCTGTACTAATTGTATCATACTCTGTGTATGTCAAGATGGAGAAAAGGTTGAAATTGCTTACCCAGGTTGGTATTATTACTTCCCTGATAGCTCTTCTTTATTCCTAGTGGTATGATGCTCTCAAGGCTGTAGCCAGACTATCAACAGGGATACCAAAGGAATGGAGAAGAAAGGTAAGGTGGATTTGCAAGGCTAAAATACAGAAAGACTGTCATTCTGTCCTYCAAAACCTCTGGAATGTCCAAAAGTATATTCTAGATTTAGTAATTTRATACTTATTGCTTCATTATTTATGCACGCAGTAAGCAGTTATTGATTATCCATTCTGTGTCACGTACTRTTCTAGGTGCTAGGGATGCAACAGTGCAAACAACAGCAGACTGAAGTTTTTGTCCTGAGGAGCTTACAATGAATAAAATATAAAGTATGTCAGATGGTGACAAGTGCTGTGGATAAAAATAAAGCACAGAAAGAAATAAGGAGAGTGTGGGAGAATAGGGGTAAGGAGGTGGAATTTTAAATAGCAAAGTAATGCGTGAGTAGGGCCCTGAAGGAGTGGAGAATTCAGAGATGTAGCTACCTGAGGGAGTATACTCCAGGCTAAGGGAAGAGCCGGTGCAAATGACCTTAGGTGAGAGTATCTCACCTGATTCAATMCAAGCAGAGGGGTGGGGTGGAGCACAAAGGACAAAGTGAGATGGGGAGAGAGTCTTAGAGGTAACAGAAAGGTGGTACACTCTGGTTGGTCTTGGGTTTTTTGCTCAGTGTGAAATGGGAAGTTTGAGTAGGGGAGTAACATAATCTGAATTACGTTTCAAAGGGACGGATCTGGTGGCTAACTTGAGAATATGAGAGCCAAGGGCAGAAGCAGGGAGATCAGTTGGAGACTCACAGTAATTCARGCAATAGATGATTTAGGTTGGGGCAGTGGAGATGGAGAGGAGGGTCAAATTCTAGATATATATTTTGAATATGAATTCCAAGTGGGCTGAATATAACCTATGAAAGGTGTGTCCAGGAGGACTTTAAGATTTTGGCCTGAGTGACTGGAAAGGTAGAGAGTTACTGTTTATATAGATGGGAGGATTAGGGGTGCAATACTTTATGATTGTATGTAGAGTTGGGTTGGTGGGGGATTAGATGTTTGGTTTGGGATCTATTAAAGTTGAGATGCCTATTAGATATCTAACTTGAAGGTATCAAATGTGCATTTGGACATATGATTCTGATGCTTATAAGTCTGGTTGGAAATACTAATCAATGCTGTTCCTGCAAAATCAAGTTAAAATACCAAAACCTGAAATGTGTTCTTAGGATATTAATTTATAAACCTAGTTTTAATACTCCTAGAATTTGAACATTGAAAGTTCCTCAGAATAAATATTAAAAGTGGCATTATGAAATGCATTTTGTAGAAGCAGATTTTCTGGGTAAGACAAAGGAGTAAAAATATCCAATGACTCTTTTAAAAAAGTTCTTCATTATGGGAGCCCATCTGTTAGTTTTATGTGTGTGGGAGGGATGATTTAAAGGCAGAGGCCTCCATGGTGAAAAAAGGCCCCACCAACATGAGTGGCCAAGTGGGTTTTGCCCAAGCATGAAAGCAACTTAGAGCCAAGTAAAACAAGAAAATGCAGCGAATCTAATGAACTGAAATAAAATTCCAAAAAACTCATGGCTTGTTTTCTTAATAGTATTTCTAATGCTTGGATTGTTACTTGACACATGGTAGGAACTTTACAAATAGTTACTGAAAGAGAAAAATGAAAGGATTCTAAGGTGGCAATTCAGTACAGCAAAAATTTTGATGAAGTTGTTACAGATCTTGACGTACAAGCTTTATCTGGATTAGGAACGGTTCCCATGTTCTTGTCGGATGCAGTAACTATTTTCTAACAAAAGTGAAATTACATATTCTACTTTAGCAACCTTTTTTATTTATGCAATATTTTAGGTTTGGTTGACCTTGGCAGATCATTATTTGCACAGTATAGCCATTGACTGGGATAAAACCATGCGTTTCACTTTCAATGAAAGGAGTAATCCTGATGATGATTCGATGGGAATTCAGATAGTCAAGGTAATGCCCCTGCACTTGGCCTGTAGTTCTAATGTAGAAAAAAGACTCTAAGAGCCAAATGTTTCCTAGATAGAGGATCAAATGGTCTCTACCTTTGGTCCAAATGTCTTTGTATTTTCTGCGTCTTTGTTTTATTAGTTAACAGCTTTTTTTTTTTTTTTTAATGGGGAAACTCAACTATGCCTTATTTTCATCAATTTAAATGTTGCTGGTAAGAAGAAAATGCTTGTGAATGAATGAGCTTCCACTCATATTCAATTTGTTTATCTTCATCACATGATAGGAGATTGAAATTCCTTTTTTAATTTTTCCCCTCTACTATAGGTTAGTGCTTTGCTAAACTGAGTTTTACATAAAAGACACTGATTGGAGAAACTTAAAGTTAGATATATTTCATTGTAGAATCATTTGGCTCTTATTAGGGTCTTTGATAGTTTCTTAACTGTTAATTTATAGAGATAGTTAGAGTTGACTGATGGGTCTACTTTAAGTCCGATGGTTACAGGTTGAAGCAAGCTGTAGAGGMAGCTGTGGTTCACCTACCTGTGTTATTGCAGTAGAGCCTGGTGCTCAAAGCATCAGGATGCTGATTCTACTCGATTCCAGAATAATCCTCTTATATAAGGCTCTAGCACATGCTTTTTGATTTTTTTTATGAGTGCATTACAGTGTGATACTAAGCTGGGATTTTAAAAGGATGGTTGTTTCATCTAATTTTTGGCTGCTACAAGATAGCTAATGTTTTGGCATATTTGAGTATATTTTTTAAAGGAGGAAGTACTAACTGAAGTGAGCAACTTTCTAACCTAACTTGATCTGTTTCAGACAAATGATAAAAAATTATGGCATTTCACRTTGCATATTAAAAACCTTTGCATTATCCACATTTCAACTGTCTATTTGAAATTTCAGAATATGTTTCACTGAGATAAACATTTCATATTTGAAATATTTTCTTTCTGTTTAGCTTGTGAACTAAGAGAGTGCACATTTTATAATAAACATGTTATTAAGGGGATCTGTTCTTTTTTCCCAATGAAGCAAATGCTATGTCAATAAAATGACTTCAGCTGCTGAAAATCAGAGTCTCTGCTTGGTAATTAAATTGTAGATATTGCTCTCATTACATATTAATGCAGAACAAATGTTTCTGTCCTTACACAAATTTATAAAATGATTTGGATAGAATGATTTTTCTTTCTATAATATAAACTTTTTTCTATTTTGATTTACTCCCTAATATTATTTAGTGTTTTGGTAGCTAAATATTATACCATATTTTTTAAGAGGGACTGTGAGCCTCTATCATAAATATGTTGAAATGGCTATTTTTTAAAAATATTTTTTTAGTTGTTGATGGACATTTTATTTAATTAATTTATTTGCATGTGGTGCTGAGAACTGAACTCAGTGCCTCACATATCCTAGGCAAGTGCTCTACCACTGAGCTACAACCCCAGCCCTGGCTTTTTTTTTTTTTAATATATATTTTATATACATATACATTTATTTATAAATTTTTAAAATATATATGTATACACATGTACATATATCTACACACATATTTATGTATCTGTGTATATATGTGACTGATGCCCATTTAAAAAATAAACTATCAATTTATGTGAAATTATAATGTCATTTTTGTTAATTGAGTTATTTTTTTATGTTAATTCTGGGAACTCTCTAAGTAGAAAATTTGCCTGACTGATCTTCCCCTTGCACAGACAGTGTATTAGAAAACATTTGAAAGAGAAAACTTAAAAAACATGTTTTGGCCTATATGTATAAGTTACATATGCATTTAAAAAAAGTTAAAAATCCATGTTGATATTTTGAACTATTTAATGGTGAGACAAATAACAAAATGTATATTCCTTGTGAGGGAGCATTAGCAGATATTTTAATAATATTGCTCCCTCTATTTTTTAGGATCTTCACCGTACAGGCTGCAGTTCTTACTGTGGCCAAGAGGCTGAGCAGGACAGGGTTGTGCTGAAGCGGGTGCTGCTGGCCTATGCCCGATGGAACAAGAATGTCGGGTACTGCCAAGGCTTTAACATCCTGGCGGCGCTAATTCTGGAAGTTATGGAAGGCAATGAAGGGGATGCATTGAAAGTAAGTGTCACTGATGGAGGGAACTGGAATTCTCTTACAGGAGAAAACTGGAGGTATAATTCTCTTCCCTGATGCCTCTCCCTTTTCCAAGGTGTTTTCCATACTTTGGTAATGACCTAGGTTAGCATTTTCTCCAGGTTAAAGCCCTGTCAAGTGACTCACGTAGCTGCTGACTGTGAGGGTGATTATTTTCTAGTCTCACTTATAAGCCATTATATGTTAAAGGCAATTTAAATATTAATTGTGTTAATTATCATGTTTGTGTAACAATTAGCTGCTTAAGACAGCTAGTATGTATTACCTTATGGTTTCTTTGAGTCAGAAATCTGGGCACAGCTTAGCTGACTCAAGGTCATATCATTGTGGCATTTAAACTGTTGGTGGTTATGTTCTTATTTGAAGGCTTGACGGGGGTGGGGGGTGGGGGACCGGTGGGGGGGAGCATTCATCAAGTTTGTTCATGTGGTTGTTGGCAAGACTTAATTCCTCACAGGCTGTTGAACTGAGGGTCTCTGGCTATTGACTGGAGGCCTCTTTTATTTCCTTGCCATGTAAGCCCCTCCACCCTACCACTTGGTTCCTGGCATCCTTGAGAGAGCAAGAGAATAAAAGCAAGTGAGGCAGAGAAGTTCAAGTTACAGATTTGTAGCCAAATATCAGAAGTGACATCCATTGTTTTTCCATATTCTGTTCCTAGGAAGCAGTCACCAGGTCTAGCTCGTAYTTAAGGGGAAGACTACCACGAGGTGGAGGTTACTGGGGGTCATTTTATAACTGCCTACCATGCCAGTTATCTTTAATTCTGGTTGAATTGACTTATTTGGTTCCTTTGCTCTTTCATATTTGGAGCGAGATATAGAGGAGGTGGGCTGAGTGTATCTATGGAAGGTGTTTGGAGAAAGGTCATGGAAGTGAAATATATCATTACCTTTTAATCTTTGGTGTGTAGGACCTTTATTAGTTAGACACAATTCTGGAAACAACTTGAGATAAAACACTAACAATGTAAGTTTATGGATCTGAATGTGAGTCATGTGTCACCAGAAATAGTCTTCATGAGAAATGAAGCCTTGCAAATGTGGAGGATGGCCACTGCCTTCATTGCTTAGGGCAATGTGGGTTGCCAATTCATATTTGAACATTTAAGCAGCTGCTGATTGTAGTGTTTGTGATATATTAGATGGAGGCTTGTTCTCTGTATTCAAAACATCTCCCCAACCCTACCTACTCTTTTTTTTTTTTATTGGTTGTTCAWAACATTACAAAGCTCTTGACATATCATGTTTCATACATTACATTCAAGTTGGTTATGAACTCCCATTTTTACCCCAAATACAGATTGCAGAATCACCAACTCTTGTGTTTGACTGTGGTGAATATCTCAGTGACATTCTCTATCACTGACTTGTGTGATATGGAAAAATAAGCACATGTTCCTCCTAGGTTTATACACATCACAGTGGACTTAATTATAAACCCAGCCGGACATGATCTAAGTGTGTGTTCACCTGCTCATTTTTTCCATTCATGTATTTAAGGAAATAGCTTTGAAATGACTTGTTTAATCAAATAGGTGGGGGTGAGGAAGTGGGGTGGACAGTGACAAATTAAATATGTGAATTTAAGACATTTTTAATTAAGAAACAATTTTATTTACTCATTCTATCGCTGTTAGTATTTTTTCCAGATACATACAAATTTGTATGACTATGAAATGAAAATTGTTCTGTTAAAAAGTTGGAATAAGTGAWTCAGGTCAGAGAGCTGGAGAAGTTTGGGAAAAGGAGTATACATTGCCAATCAACTCATGAAAGGACTCAGTGGTACCGGAGAAACTAAAATTCACATAAAAAGATGGATTGGACAAAGCAGAGAAACTGAATATTTTTATTTCTGTCCCCAAGAAAATAAGCCCCATGGAATGAGATGACATATATCATCATTGTTTAGGAATGTGTAGATCTTGTGATTAGATATTTAATATGCAGAGGAAAGTTGGGTTGATGAAGAAGCACTTCTGATGCCAAGAAAAATATCAGTGTCTGTGTTTTTTTAGCAGCCATTTTGGCATTAGCAAGTTGAAATTATTAGGGAAATTCATAGTTTAGTAAAAATAGGTGAACAACTTTTTTCTAATTTCCAGAACTGTCTTTTGCTAGTAATTATTATTAGATTTTTAAAAATGTTTTTTAGTTGTCAAAGGACTTTATTGTATTAATTAATATGTGGTACTGAGAATTGAACCCAGTGTTCACACATGTGAGGCAAGCACTCTACCATTGAGCAACAACCCCAGCCCAGTCATTATTTTGTTTCTAAATATTTGTCAAAAATTTGAAGCCCTCTCATTATTTATCTCATTTATTTATTTTTTTAAGATATATGATTTGGTCTTTGAAATTTGGTAGTGAGCTGTTTCTTTTGTCTTAACACCAGGCTTTGAGATGACTTTATACTGAGAATTTTATTATAAGAATTACTAGAATAATTGAAGAAATATCTTTTCTTATTCTCATAATTTTGATGGGATCATAATTTCTTAATAATGACTTGAGTGCTTTTCTCAGTACTATATAACTTCTCCTTAGGTGAAAAGGATAATAACCCCCAGACCATTACCTTTAAATTTGCCTTTCTGTTCCTATAAATCCCCTTTCTCCAGATCCATGGAGTGCTAGGTGCCTACCGGGGTGCTCTACCCTGCTGGGAGTCTGCTCTTTCCCATCTGGGACCTCTTCCTCCATGTGGACTGAATGTACTCCTTGTCTTGCCGAGCTCCTGTTTCCCAGGCAATGATACATTTACCTAGTACATTCTGTGCTGACATAAGAAGTCTCCCTAGGCTTGTGGATCAAAAACCTCAGAGGGCTTTCTCAAGAATCATACAAAACCATAATCTAAAATTAGAAAGTATAAGCCAGGAATAAGGGGAAAATGGTCCCATGGCAGGGCTGGAAGATAGATAGGGAGATCTCTATTGATCAGAGGTAGATCTATTTTTAWCTATCACTTTATTTTTTTTGAAAATAGAGTTTTGTGGTATCCTGAAGATAAAAAATGTGAGACAGCACTTTTCCGCCTGCATACAGACCCAGCTATGATTTTGTTCTTAATTTTGTTTTTCTGGTGCTCTGGGAATGATCTGGTCTTTTATGGACTATAAAAGCAGACAGGGAAAGGACTAGGGATTGAAGGACAGAACTTGTGTTTTTTTTTAATATTAATTTTTTAGTTGTAGTTGGACACAATACCTTTATTTTATTTATTTTTATATGGTGCTGAGGATTGAACCCAGGGCCTCACATATGCTAGGTGAATGCTCTACCACTGAGCCACAATCCCAGCCCCCAGAACTTGTTTTTGTGTTACTAGATCTAGTGGTTCTTAACACTTGAGAAAAGRTAATACAAGTATAAAACTCAAGAATGAAGATTGTAATTTGAAGAAATCAGGTGATGATCTTATGAAAGAAACGTGGGTTTAAAACAGTCCCATTTGTTCAAACAAAACTTGGTTGCATTCTCCTGGGAGAGGAAAGTAGTCAAAAACCAACATCAGTTGCTGTAATAACCCAGGTAATTGGAAAGTGAATCTCAGGGCCACCTCAGCGTGGGTGTTTTATGATAGGCCATCTCTTGGGTTTCGTATTGACGTCGTAAACTACTCATATCCAGGATTCCATGCTGAGGCTCCTGCTGGTGGCTGATGAAGCCTGTGCTCTCTCATTCCTCAGTGAAGCTGGGAGTTGTGTGATCACAGCTGCTTATGGGGTCTGGTGGCCCATCTAGGAATTTCAGAGGGCCGCAGAATTTGGGTCTAAGTTACTTAGATAATTATGCCGCCTTCTCCTTACACCGGGTGTAAGTGAGCCTTGAAAAATTGGTACTGACACATTTAAAGGAGAGTTTGCTTTGGCTAATTGCATTTTATCTAGTTGAATTATATTCTTTTAATTTTGGACATGTTAGGATTTTGGTTGTTATGAAGCTGTATTATTCTTTATCTTTTTCTTTAGATTATGATTTACCTGATTGATAAGGTACTTCCTGAAAGCTATTTTGTCAATAATCTCCGGGCATTGTCTGTGGATATGGCTGTCTTCAGAGACCTCTTGAGAATGAAACTCCCTGAATTATCCCAGCACCTGGATACTCTTCAGAGAACTGCAAACAAAGAAAGTGGAGGTTGTGATGTTTCATTGCTATTAAACCTTGAAAAATATTTGGCTTGTGAGATTCCACTCTATACATGAACTAACATTGAATGGAAATGCAGGTTTCTGGGTATCTCTTTGTTTTTTAATTTTTTTTTGTAAATAGACACAATACCTTCATTTTATTTATTTATTTATTTATTTATTTATTTTTATATATGTGGTGCTGAGGATTGAACCCAATGCCTCACAAGTGCTAGGCAAGTGCTCTACCACAGAGCTACAACCCCAGCCCTTCCAGGTATTTCTGTTGTAAGAGTTTGGTGCAATGAAATAGATTCCCAGAGAACAAAAACAAAACTGAAAATAAATATATAGGGTCATGTGTTAAGCCTCTAGCTGGTCATGGGTAGAAAACAGGCTGAGAGCCTAACATCCCCTTGGTACCAGATCAGAAACTAACGGGATATATTGTACTCTAGATGAAGAATGGTGTATGTGTCTTATTGTCTAAAGTGCTCTACACTGGCACCAAACCTGTCGGAGTTCTTTAAAGCTGAGCTTCAGGTACCATTTAGCACAAGCTGGCTTTGGAGAACCATTGAAGCTATGAAAGTGCAGTTCCCSGAGCTGCTGCCATCTAGTGGCCTCATCAGCCCTCAGCAGTACCTGGTTGAAGTTGCTGCAATTACACCTATTGTCTGTGCCCTGATACCRGAAAGAATGTTTTGTTTTGCTGTTTCCTGGACTTGGCTCCTGGTTCCTGTTGTAGATCATGCATTTGTGGGTTAGTCGGACCCACACATTTAAGTCTTGGAGCATATTAAAGGATTTTGAGGATCTAATCTTTGATTAAAATACACTGTGATATTTTAGTGACAGCTGGGTGTCTAAGTTTTTTCTCCTAGTCTATTTAAATGATCTGTATTTAATTTGGTGCACAGCGTAACTGTATACTTGCGTGAGTTTCACAATGCTTCTGCTTAGACTGGTTTTGCCTGTCCTGCAGTCAGACACGTTTTACTGAGCTACATGTTTTCCCTTTCGTGGCACTTGGCTAATGAGGAATAACCTCTGGTTCTAATCTTTGAGCAAATGTTTGTTCATAGGTAAGGAGGAAGAAAATGGGTGCAGGAAAACAGATCTCTTTTTTGCTTACACTTGAGTAATTGTGCATACTGACTGTAACTGGGAGGGAAGGTCAGTCTAAATGTCTGAGTTATATTTCAATAAAATATATGCTTATGATATCACAAGAAGTGGAAGTACTGTTTTTAGTAAATTTAGAATTTCAAAATGGATGGAACCCCAGATCTTTCTTTAAAACTATATATAGTTTAGTTCAAAATGTATTTAAATTCAATGTTGTTTAGTCTTCAAATATTTTGGGATTTTCCAGCTAGCTTGCTGAGAATTGTGTACATAATTTAAGAAGCAGACAGATAAATTATAATAAACAAGTTTATTCTTTTTGGCCACATTTGAGTAAAAGTGTGCTTTATAAGATTCTGAAAATCTGATGCCTTTTTGCTTTTGAGAGGCTAAAATCCTTTATTTTTGTTTTGTTTTTGGTGAGGAAACTTTCTTCTTAATTTCCAGCACCCTACAACAGGTAGAGCCACAGTTAGGTTTTAGGTTAAGATTTCTGAAGCATCATAAAGAATGTGTGAAGCCCACATGATTGAGATTTTTATTAAAAACACCTACGTTCCTCCAGAAGCATGGAAGGAATAAAAGGAAGAAAGAATCAGGATGTAGAATGAAGGAATAAGTCAAGAAATAGAACCTAGTTGAGTGGACATGGAAGACTGAGAAGGGTGTTTGTCCATTTCCCACATCATCAATTTTGAAGGAATTAAGCATGCTTGTTTTGTTTCAGGTGGATACGAGCCCCCACTTACGAATGTCTTCACGATGCAGTGGTTTCTGACTCTCTTTGCCACGTGTCTCCCTAATCACACAGTTTTAAAGATCTGGGATTCAGTCTTCTTTGAAGGTTCGGAGATCATCCTAAGGGTGTCACTGGCCATCTGGGCAAAATTGGGAGAGTAAGTGATTTCCCTCATCTACTTCATTCTGTGATGTTGAGAGCCTCAAGCAATTTTGTGCTTTGAATGTGAAGCATTGATAGTGTGAGGAGAAGAGAAAGTTGTGAACTTTCTTGAATTGCTTTAGGCTCCTGAAATCTCAGCTGCCCGCCCCCCTCCTTGATTGCTCGGGGCAGAGGGAAGAGGAGGATTCTCCCCTCCTCCTCAATGGACCTGTCCTGGCTGAGTCTCTCCTCAGCATCCCTCTGGACATTCTCTTGGAGGAAGGAGAGAAACTCAGATGGAAGAGAAAGTAGAAGATCTGGAGAGGAGCATGTGGATTTATTGGCTTACATAATACTTTGGATTATTTATGAATCTTTATTATTTATTTTGTTTCGCCATTCAGAACTGTGATAAAATTAAATAAGATAACCTGTAGAAGATTCTAACAGGGTGCTTGGTACATAGTCAATAGTAGACTCTATGGAACTCCTTTCTTTTCATGAAAAATTGCTTATGTGTTTAAATCTGGTCCCGCCAAAACATATTACCAAATAAATTTTACTTACATTCCTTACTAGTAGTAGCAGGGCTGAAAAAGATAGGGTAGTTTCACTTAGCTCTAATATATTATGACTAATACATTAACATTGTAATCTTTGGTTAATGGAAGACACATTAGGATGAGACTGTTAACAGTTTACTTAAAACGCAGAGAAGTTTTCAATGTTTCTTTCCCAGAGCTATGAATGACTTGAGTGGGTACATATGTTAGTAAGCTTTTTGTCACTGTGACCAAACTGGCTTACAAGAAAAACTTAGGGAAAAATTTATTTTGACTCACAATTTCAGAAATTCAGTTCATGGTTGGCCAACTCCATTGCTCTGGGCCCAAGATGAGGCAGAACATCATGGTGGAGGGTGTTGTAGAGGGAAACTGCTTTGCTCATGGTGGCCAAGAAGTAGAGAGAATGAAGAGTCAGGGGGACAAGATGTAATCCCCACATGCTCCCAGTGGCCTCACTTCTTCCAGCCACACCCCATCTACCAACAGTTACCATCCAGTTAGTGTATTCAAATAAGAATGGACTCATAGGTCACTGCTCTCATAATCTATTTTTTTTTTAGATTTTTTTTAATATTTATTTTTTAGTTTTCGGCAGACACAACATCTTTGTATGTGGTGCTGAGGATCGAACCCGGGCCGCACGCATGCCAGGCGAGCGTGCTACCGCTTGAGCCACATCCCCAGCCCTCATAATCTAATTGTTTAACCTCCTGCTCAACACAGGAGCTTTTGGGGAACACCTGATATCCAAACCATAACATTACCCATGACATGGACAACATGTCAAAAACCTATACACCACTGGCAGTGTATTTTTTCAAAACCTTTTTAAACTAGCCTTTTTATTTATGATAACTCGTTTCCTGGGAGACTTCCAGCTTTTTTTTTTTTTTTTTTTTTTTTTGCAAAGAAAGTTCCACCATCTAGGCGTGGTGGCGCATGCCTGTAATCCCAGCAGTACAGGAGGCTGAGGCAAGAGGATGGTGAGTTCGAAGTCAGTCTTAGCAACAGTGAGGTGCTAAGCAAAATACTAAATAAAATACTAGAAAGGGCTGTGGATGTGGCTCAGTGGTTGAGTGCYCTTGAGTTCAATCCCTGGTATCCTCCTCCCCCGACAAAAAGATCCACTAACTATCAATTCAGGGATTTAAAAAAAATCATTATTATGTACAAGTATTTTAAAATATGACATAGCTCTCTCCTTTGCCTTTGTTTTATTGAACATTGCTTTTCAGGTAGGCCAATCAGTCAATCTGATGGATTTAGTGTGGTGTTTTGTTTTACTTTTCAGGTAGGCCAATTRGTTCATCTGTGTGGGATTTAGTGTACTGTTTGCTTTTCATTTTCTCCCAGTATCTAACTCATTCTGTAGTCACGTGTGTTTGATCTACATTATATGTTATAAGCTTTTTGAGTTTTTCTGGGTGTGACAGTCCAGTTACTAGGTGACTGGTTGATAGTATTAAAATAGTAAAGCTCTCTATTGTATGGGGGGACAGTGATATTCTCCTTTGTGACTTCTTAATAATGGGGCAGGAAGAAAAGAGGAAGCCCTGGCTTTATGTCCATCTAGTCATTATCTGGAGGATGGGAATTTATTCCTATGGTAATCTCAGCAGTGTCACTCTTACAGAATAACAATAGCTGCAAGTAAGAGCCAATATTCATTGAGTGTTTGAAATGGACAGGCACTGTTCCAAGTCCTCCACATACATTAACTAAGTCATTCTTCACCATCATCCTGTAGAGGTATGTATTGTCATCATCTTCATTTTATTGATGTGAGAATTGAGACACAGGATTCAGTGAATTGCCTAAAGTCCCCCTTTTCATAAATGGAAGGTTCTGGTTTTAAACCCAAGTATCCTGGACCTGAATCTGTGCTTTTTAAAAAATTTTATTTATTTTTTATTAGCTACACATGACATTACAATGATTTTGGCAATTCATACATTTGAATCATTGGGGTATAATTTCTCATTTTTCTGACTTTACAGATTGCAGAATCACACTGGTCATAGAGTCACCTATATACATACAGCAATCATAATGTCTATTCTGTTCTGCTGCCCTTCCTATCCCCCCTACTCCTCTCCTTCCCTCCCATCATTTTTCTCTATCCGATCTAATGTGAATCTGTGCTTTTAATTATGCAAGTCTACTGATAATAAGTGGCTAATATTCATGAGTGTTTGCAATATATATATGTGTAAATACACATATATCATATCCTGAACTTCATRATCATATATATATATATGGGTGATGATGGCCAGCATCTCTTTGAGAGGTTCTCTTGCCATCTCTCCTCCACCAGGGAAGTCCAAGCCACCCTAAAACTTACATTCTCAGATAATTAGGAACAAAGCACAAATACTCAGAATATATTTACAGAATGTGAAGCCCCGGATAGATCTAGTCTACATGGGTTCTGGAACTAGACAAAGAGAAAATGGCTCCGGTGGTTTATTTAAGCGGGTACATTAAAGGAAGGGATAAGGTTGCAAGGGTGGAGTCTTGCTTCATGATGTCTCGCAGTCAGCAGGGTGATTGACCTCTTGGCAGGTCACACCCATCTCAGGTGCAGTGTGGGGGGATCTTTGGCAGAGCTTCAGGAGGGAGTTCACCTGCATGGGGGGGTGCCAGAGGGAGTTCCCAATGCCAGACTTATCCCCCCAGGAGGCTACTGTGTGCAACTGTCCACACATAGCCCATGCATAGTTTGTGGTGCATATATATATCAGCCTGGTAGAATTTTTGCTTATCATAATTGAAAATCTTTTGAGCATGCAAGGGAAGGCAACCAACACATATCATCAAGTGCTGATAGTGTCTGTCATTATGTTAGGCAAATTCAGCACATTAGCTCATTTAGATCTCCCAATAATGCTGTGAAGTAGGTAGGGTTATTCCTCCCTGTCATTTCAAGCGAGAAGACTATCACAGCTAATGATTAGCAGGGCTGAGATTTACCCCTGGATCTTTCTGACTCTAGTGCCTATAATCCACTCCACAAAAGTTTCGTTGGAAAAACCATAAACAGCATAAAAGGTAATCTCCAGTTGATGTGTGCCTGAGCAATGTATGTGCCTTACATATGGTTATCCACGGGGCATCTCCTTCCACCTTGCTTCTGTGGCTGGGGATTCCCTCCTTTCACTCACTGAGGGGTGCTTTTGGAATCTGTAAGTTGTAGACCATCAGTTCATCTGCACTAGCATCTCTTGTGTGTCCTTTCTCCTCTGGCTCGCCATCTTGGCACACTCCCTCACTGATTTCTATTGATTGCCCATTGTGGTGTGTCTTCTCTGGTTTCCAGTCATGCACCACATTTGCCATGCCACCTCCAGGCTGACCTTGCCAAGGACAACGTCACTCCCTTTTAAAAGCCTTTCAACACTTGTGTCCTGAAGAGATTCAGCTGGCAGATGAGGCCTTTGTGATCATATGTCTGCAGCCTTCTAGCCTCAATGTTCACTGGCTCCCTCTGGCTGTGCATTCATTTGTCCCCTGGTCTTGTGGAGCTACTTGCAGTTCCCCAGATAGGCCTGCTGTTTCCTGCATTGGTGTCTTTAGAATGTTTTTTCTTCTTTGTCAGCTTGGAGAGCATTTTTCAAAGCACTTTTTCTCTTCCTCACCTCACTCCCCAGGGTAAACTTAACCACTTTTCATTTATGCCCACATCCTACGCTGTATCTTTGTAATAATATTTTAGTATTTACTTCATTTATATACTTACACAATCATAAACAACCCACACAATACCCTGTTGATTGCCTGAGGTTTTTCCATCATCATTTTTTTTTTTTTTTGGATGATTCTATGAACATCACCCAGTTGGTGAGCAAATTGAACTGTCCAACTGTACAAAGAACAGTATAATAGATAAAACAGAAATACCCTGTGTTCTTTGACTTGGATTACTCACCCCCCCAACCTCAATTTAGAAGAAAGTTGAAAGTCCAACCTGTCTCACAGGTTACCAGGTGATAGATCCTTCCCTGAGAAGGGCTCAGAAAGTTCTTGTGGACTGATGAAATATGCAAATGAAGTTTTTGTATTTTTTGACTTTTAGCTCTACTGTGGTTTGGTTTCCACCTATTCATGCTATCACTGTAGATTAAGATCAACAGAGTCTCTGCAGGGGATAATTGTTCTTTAGAACCTAATTCTGTGGTTATAATTTCTGGTCAGTGCTGGATGTTCTGATATATAGAATGTGTCAAATGGAACCCATGAAGAGCCACAGTGGGGCTGTGTTGCTGGGATTTTGGGAGTGCATACCAGAACAAGTACCTCTAGATTGCTATTTTTTTTAAATGAGGTTTTACTGTGTTGCCCAGGCTAGTCTTGAACTCCTGGGTTCAAGAATCCTCCTGCCTCAGCCCCAGAGGAGTAGCCTGTCTGATGGGTGTAGACCACTGGGCCAACTGGGTTTTGGTACCTTTGATCTTTATTTCATATTCATTGTGTCCCAGGATTTTGATTTCTGTTGATTGCTAACTTGGTTGATGGTGAGAGGCAGCACATCTTGTATCTGTACCCATTACACAGCATGAGTGCCCTCAATAAGTCCTTTTCCCCCTTCTTTCTTCATCTAGGCAGATAGAATGTTGTGAAACAGCAGATGAATTCTATGGCACCATGGGGCGCCTCACCCAGGAGATGCTGGAGAATGACCTTCTGCAAAGCCATGAACTCATGCAGGTGAGTGGGTGCAGGAACCCAGTGCTAAAGTAACTACCGGTGTCAGAGCAGCAGTCTATGGGAAATGTATTTGGATAGCTGTCAGTCTAATTTTTTCAGTTGATTAAGAGTCTGTGTCTAATTTGATAAGAATTTATGTGACAAGAGGAAGGAAGAAATGAATGATGGCTGTTTGTTAGGGCTTTCCTTCGAACTGCGCCGCTTAAGAAACATTAGGCGCAAAATAAAAATAAATCGGGGGGGAAAATAGCCCAAATCACCCAGTGTTTATTCTGAATCTGATTCTTAGTCTTCTTAAAGGGATATTTGTGAGGTAAAATTGTTACTTGGGGGCAGGTATTAGGATAAAAAAGATTATTATTCTAATTGGCATTTTGATTCATTTTCACCTTCATTGTTCTACTTTCTAAAACCAGGTTATTATACATGAATCATAAATTTCAGCATGAAAGTCTTAAAGAGTTTGCATATTTTCCTTCATGTTTTGCTGTCTCTCAAGATCACGTTAACCAAGTCACTGAAATTGACAGCAAGTTCAGAAAAGAGAGCTGGTGTGTTGGTGCTCTTTCTTCCATTAGGGTCTGCAACAAAGTTTTGTCCTCATTCTCCTCCTGTGCTTTCAATCACTTCTTTTCTTCTTACTTTTTCCTCTTGCCACTGACAAAAGGCAGGCTGTATCCAGGGTTGTCCTGGGGACTTCCTTACTTCTTTGTGATTTTTCCTCCTTACTCTCTGCTTCTACTTTCACCTTTATGTTGGGGTCCCATGGTCATTTTCAGGTGCCAGGACCACTCAACAGGCTACAAAACCAAGACTCGGGACAATTTCAGGCAGATAGGTGAGGGGCTTTGTTCATTTTGTGGCTCACTCCAAATTCCTCCAGCTCCTCAGACTCTCTTGCTCTTGGCAGGCAGCAATCTGATTTATCTGACCCTTTGATCCAATTCCCTTGAGCATTCTTACTTTTACCTCCGTGTCCCTGTGTACTCTCATCCCTTTTATTTCTTCCTGTCTGTCTTAAAGGAGGAAGTGTTCTGTCTGGCCCTAATTTCATGCTCTGATTCCAACTCTTCTCACACATCCTGGCCTGTTATTTCATTGCTCATTCTCTCTTGAAGGACAGTGCCTTTTACTGAACTCTGTTCTTTGTCCCAGGTCCATGACTGGCATTTTCCAAACATGAGACTCTGTACATGCTACAGAATCAGACGAGTGCACTGGCCTATGCCTGCAACCCTGGTGCTTGGGAGGCTGAGGCAGGAGGATTKCGAGTTCAAAGSCAGCCTCAGCAACTTAGTGAGGTCCTAAAGCCACTCAGTGAGACCCTGTCTGTAAATAAAATATTTTTTAAAAAGGGCTGGGGATATATCTCTGGTACCAAAAAAAAAAAAAAAAAAAAAAAAAAAAGGAAGAAGACAGCATCATCTGTCTAAAGTAGGACTCTGAAAGATTATTCCTTCTCCCTCATGTGGAACTTCCACAGCTTCTCACTGCCTCTAGAGCAGCAGAAATCACTCAGCTAAACATCTTGGCTATTTGGTGTTGATCTTCCTTTTTAGCCACAGTTCCTATTTCTCTCTCTCTGACCCTTGTCCTAGTCTCATCAAGTTAAACTGTCTTCCATGCCCAAAGAAATGCCTGGAAACACACCTCCTCCATACCTTGTTCTCTCCACAGTCTTGCTTTTCTGCCTTCATAAAGCTTCCTGCAGGAAGTTCARCTCAGAGGCTGTCATCCTTTATGAAACTTCTCTCAGTTTCARCAAAATCGTCTCCCATCTCCCTGGGTATTTTATTTGTGCCTCTTGAAAGCTTTCCTCATCTTCTGCCTTGATTCAAGATGGCTCTCATTTCCTCAATTGTATTGCAATTTCTTTGAGGACATGGACKATGCTTAGCACTTTGCCTTTTACGAGAGCTGCTCATTGAGAGTCTGTGGTTAGTTTTCTACTTTTTCTTTTTTCTCTTCATAAAAAAAATAGAACAGAGAATTTATTTTGGTGGGAGGGGTACTGTGGATTGAACTCAGGGGCATTCAAACCCTGAGCCACATCCCCAGCCCTATTTTGTATTTTATCTAGAAACAGGGTCTCACTGAGTTGCTTAGCACCTTGCTAAATTGCYGAGGCTGGCTTTGAACTCACGATCTTCCTGTCTCAGYCTCCCGAGCTGTTGGGATTACAGGCATRTCCCACTTCACCTGGCTCTGCTTTTTCTTTTTAAATCAGTGTTCACTTGGTTAAACAAAACTCATAGGTGACAACCCTCCTTTCTCTTTCCTTCTGTTCCAATACAGTCATCAGCACTTGGCTGCCTGAGTRATTGTCTATACTTATTGCTTTGATTGCCTCATTGTTCTACTTTCTAAAGCCATCTGTATTTCTTGGTACTCTTTGTAAAATCAATGCCCCAGCCACATTTTCTAGGCTCTGCATTAGCTTTTCCAAATATTTATTGAGCATCTCTAGTTGTCAGGTACTGTACCACATGCTGGGGATACATATGGGAGAAGATATGGGGTCTATCCTTATGAGGCATATAGGCTCCTTTAACAGTGTGGTATGTGCCCTGAGAAGGGTGTGYACAGGGGCTGAGGAGGAAAGAGGACCTAGTGCCCAAGGGTCAGGAGTGGGGTGGAAATGGTGAATGCCATTCTAAGCTACTCTTTTCTGAATTTACTTAAAAAAAAATTCAATGATTGTGATCTGGCTATGATAGACTCTAAATCTTCCAACAAACTTGAAATTGCTCCAGATGAAAATTGTGGGTTGAATGCAAAGATRTGAAAGGATTCTTCTCTTTTGGGCTTTCCTGTTTCTTTCTGTTCTAAATATTGTACATAAACTAATATGCTGGGTTATCCTCTGAAGATCACTCCTTTAATTAGCGGTTTCCATTTTTTTTGGGGGGGTGTGGGGAGGCAGGGGAATGGTGCTGGGCTTCTTACATACCAGGCAAGTACTCTACCACGGAGCTATATCCCCCACCTTTTTTATATTTTTTCTTTTAAATTGATAATGTTAAGTAGGAAAATTGGGGGAGTACCGATGAAGCAGTTTATCTGAATCTTAGTAGGACGTTTCACCACATCTCTGGTAGATTCCTTGAGGGCAATGTAGAGAAATGTGGGTTAGATGCAAATATCAGAAGAGTTGTAGGTGCTAGAGAAACCTCACCCCAAAGTGCTTGTGAGTGATTTTCTATTWTCTGAAGGCAGTTCTCACGTGACATGAGGCAAGACATGCCCTTGGACCCACACTGTTYGCTTTCTTCCGTCAGTGATTGGGTAGAAATCCCAAGGATGTGGATACTTATTCAATAGAGAGACAATGTTTGATTAATTAATTCTGTCAAGAATTAAAACCGTCTGTCCTGCAGAATAGTGTGGGCCCATCACTGGGAGTGTTTAGGCAGCGCCTTTGAGGCCATCTGTTGGAGATGTGCTAGAAGAAGCTTCTGTGTGGGTGGGAGGTTGAATTACATTGTGTTAAATTCCTTTGGACCCTAGCATTCTATTACTATACATATTTTGGCTCTAAGAGATTTGGAATCTGTTATAAAATCTTCAATTTATAAGTTGGAAGCCTAGAGGGTTTTTCTTTTCTTTTCTTTCTTTCTTTCTTTCTTTCTTTTTTTTTTTTTTTTGTACCAGGGATTGAATTCAGGGACACTACACCACTGAGCCATACCCCCAGCCCTATTTTGTATTTTATTTAGAGACAGGGTCTCACTGAGTTGCTTAGTGCCTCACTTTTGCTGAGGCTGGCTTTGAACTTGGGATCCTCCTGTTTTAGCCTCCCAAGCTGCTGGGATTATAGGCATGCGCCACYGCCCCAGGTTTAAGCTTAGAGGTTTTTGTGTACCCTGAGTGCTGCAGGTTGTGCCAGGGATACTTAGGCTCATGAGACAGTGCTGCCTCAGACACACGAGCCCTTCGAGTAAGTGAGTGAATGTACGTGAAGAACTATAAACAAGTTTGTTTCAGGAACACTGATTACTTCTTTAAAGAATTCACTACAAGTAAACAACCGAGAAGGTAAAGCCTTTAATGGAAGGGACTGAATGCCCAGTGGAGCCAGTTTCCTTTTTGGCCAGGTGTCCAGCTCTAGTGAACTGAGACCATCCACCCTGGGCAGGATGGGAGAAGGAGAGGCAGAAGGAATTTGCCTTTCCTCTCTTCCAAACTTCCTTCCCAAGGCTGGACAAGGGAATTTTCTAATACAGCTACAAAACTGGCAAAAATRAAACAGGCAAATCTTTAACTGGACACCCTACTTTTTGTCCTCAGYGAGACATTTCACTTGTAAGGAATTTTGAAATTCCTAGCATTTAGTAATCATCTTCTTCTTATTATTATTTAATAATCTCAACTTTTAAAGTTGAATCTGATTTGTATGGTTTTCTTAAATGCCTGAAACAAGTTTCTCAATTGTTAAGGAAAGAAGATCACACGAATGAGGGGGCGGGTTGATGATGATGATGATGATGATGATGATGATTAGAGCTTTATAGTTATACATAGTAGCTGGGTTCTTCCCAACAAACTCATACATGAGTGAAAATCAATTTTGGTTCATGACCCTCCATTTCCCCTCCTTTTTTTCCCTCTCGTCCCCCTTCCCCACTCCCATTCTCCTTTGAGGGTTGGCTCTTGCCCCAACTGTGGAAGCATGTTTGGTATATGGTGGTCAGTATATTTGGGCACATGCTGCTCCTACTGAGGTTCAAGAGGAGGTACTGTTCTCTGGGTCAAAAGTTAGGGTGCAAAGGAGAGAATTTCACATCTTTTTCTTCCTCTCAAAGGGGTGCATGGAGCTAAGATGTGGTCACATGAGCAAGGAGGGGAGAGTTCTACAGGGGTAGCTGTTGGATACTTTTGTGAGCTCAAAGAACATGGGCATTCACTCTGACCACATTATTAATAAAATTATATGAATTATTTTAGGCGCACARAATGTATTAAGAATTGTATAACAAAACCTGCATAACCAACACCCAGCTTAAGATATAAAACATTAATAACATGGTGAATACCCTCAAATATTTCTCCCTGACCTTTCTACCCMCTCTCCTTTTGGAGGTAACCCTGGTCCTGAGTTTCACACTTTTCACTTTTCAGATGAGAGAAAGGAAGTCCCAAAATTTGGGAACTGATGTAATCTCACACTTCAGGCTAAATGGAAGCCACAAGGTGTCTTCTGTTTCTTTTTTGGAAGTGAGAGACACTTTGTGCCACTTCTCAGCCTTTTGGATATAATCAATCAAAAATGTAGCATATGTAAAAAGACAACTTAGAGATGACTTTTGTGGTCCTGAAGAGCTGTGTAGCTTTGTACAGTAAGCATAAAAAAATTGAAGGGAAGGAATTTTAGCCAACACTTATTTGTTTGAGATCTTGGGTTGTTATGGTAAAGTGTAAGTGGATACCACAAAGGTGAGGGGCAGTCAGATGTGGAGGCTGTTAGAATGACCTGTCACAGCAGTGCACAGAACTACAAAGTGAAACAGCAGCACAACTAAACTCCCTTCAAAGCCCTCATTTCCCTACCCATGAGCAAACACATCAGCCTTCAGAGAAGCAGTCCTGCTGAAATGAAAAATAGCACTTTTAAAATATTTTCCTAGAAAAATGTCATAAGATACTTGATTTGCATCCTGGGAAAATGAAACTATGAATAATACACATTTGCTGGTGTCTTTTCCATAGCTCAGTTTGTGCCCAGGCAATGCAGTAGATTGCAGACAGCCCAGAAAAAAGTGCCCAGACACAGCGTGGGAGACATATGGTTTACTGGGGAAAGCTTATGACAGATCAGTGACTGCACCAAGACCAGTTTCCTAAGAAGAATTCAGTGGCAGCAGGTTGGCAGTACCCCCGTCTCTCACAGTGCTTTGCCAAGCAGTGCTCCTTCGCCTTTGCTGCGTTTTGTCCTGCAGTGGTTGGCTGGACAAGTGACACACATCCTTTCCATAGTGTCCTCAATTCCATGGTGCCCATCCCCCCCCCCCCAAAGAGGGGTTTTATTTTTTAGGCTGTAGAAACAGTGACGTCATCACTTGCTTAGTTTGCTTGCTTAGTTTGCTTGTCTGACTAGTATCCCCAAGAGCAACTGTCCTGGGGTACATGCAACAAAGTAGCTTTGTCCAGATAACACTGCACTAACTTGCCCTAGTTCCAGTGTGTATAAGAGAAAGATCATAAGTATCTGGACTTTCCAGCTCAGACTTGCTCCCGTTGTTCCTTTAGCTTGGTAAGATTTTAGGAACAGAAAGGGGGTATCATTTGGGGTCATAGTAGTTTACTGTCCCCTTTGCTTTGGGGATGATACAGCTGGTGAATAAGAACCTGAAGGATTGAAGTAATATGTTTGGAATAATTGTTAATAAAAATAAGAGGGCAAGTGAGACTACTCTTGCTGAAATTATGATACATAGTTTTGAGATTCTGATGAAGTGTAGATGCTTCTCTATGCTTTTTATTTTTTTTCATAGTTTTTGATTGTCTCTGCCTTAGTCACTTTTTTTCTTTTTCTTTTTTTCTTTCTCCTTTTAAAAAATAACAGCTAATAATTTTCACCTAGAACTCATTCACAGACATTTGAAAAGGTGGTATCTTTGGAGAAAACTTGTGATCAAGATCATTTGTAAGACTTAACTGCATCTAGAAAGTTAACATTAATGTCCACAAAAATTATCAAAGCACTGAAAAAAAAAAGCCCTACATATGAAGGACATTGATGGGTTCTTTGATACAGAGGTGTCAGGAGCCATAGCTCTCTGAGTTACCCCATCTATCAAATGACAGGAGGAAGCCAGACTGCCTCCATTTGCCCACCCCTGTTCACCAGTTGGAGTGCCCGGCTGCAGCTGGGTGGATTTGAGGACTCAACTGCTGTTTTTTTCAATGCAGATTGGGTAGTCTGCTGCAAAGTGCTTGGGATCAGAAATGATTCAAATTTGGGAATATTTGCATATGCATCTTGAAAAATCTTGGGGCTGGGACCCAAGTCTTGGCATGGTATTCACGTATGTCACATACACCTTGTATGCATAGCCTGAAGGTAATTTTATGTAATATTTTTAGCACACCTGCATTCTGCCTGCGACCTGTTGCAATGAGGTCAGGTGTGGAGTTTTTTACTCATGGCATCATGTTGGTGCTCAAAAAGTTTCAGATAGGATCATTTTGGATTTTGGATAAAGATTCTCAATCTGCAGTATTATTTTCTCTAAAGGGGATATTGAAGTATAATCTCTCCCACTTGGCAGGTGAGGAGCAGTATCTTCCTCTTCATCCTCAATCTCATGAAACTTTAGTGTTTTCTGGGCTTGATGATAGCTGTATCAGGCCACTGTTTCAGTCTTGACATTTTTCACTTTTGTTTTTCAGACTGTTTATTCTATGGCACCATTCCCTTTTCCACAACTGGCAGAGTTGAGGGAAAAGTACACCTACAACATTACACCCTTCCCAGCCACAGCTAAACCCACTTCAGTTTCTGGGTAAGTTGTTTTTTTTTTTTTTTTTTTCTTTCTTGTTGTTTTCATGATGCGAGACTTAACACCTCAATTTGTTATTATAAATCAATATTTATTAAGACCTGGAAATATGTACGAAGTAATTTGGTCTTAAGTAATTTAATTTTAAAAATTGGAATGGCTCTTTCCTAAAGATTTGATTTAAATTCAAGAGGGATTTCTAAAACTGTACTTTCCACAGAAGTTTGGAACATACTCTGAGGGAGTATTTAGYAAGCCCCTAACTTATTTAAAAATATATTTTAATTCTCGTAATTAAGATAGTATGGAACTAGTGTGCACAAGCAGATGAGCTAATTTAAAATATCATAAAAAGAGAGGGAAAGATGGTGGAATGAGATGAATACAAAATAGCCATACTACCAAAAGCACTATACAGATTTAATGCAATTCCTATTAAAATTCTAATGACATTCCTCATAGAAATAAGAAAAAGCAATCATGAAATTCATTTGGAAAAATAAGAAGCCCACAATACCAGACCTTAAATTATACTACAGAGCTACAGTAACACAAATGGTATTGTCACCAAAACAGACATGTAGATCAATGGTACAGAATAGAAGACACAGAGGCAAACCCACATAAATAGAGTTATCTCATACTAGACAAAGGTGCCATAAATGTTTATGAGAGACAAGATAGCCTCTTCAACAAATGGTGCTGGGAAAACTGGAAATCCATATGTAGTCAGAATGAAACTTAACCTCTATCTCTCACATTGCACAAAACTCAACTCAAAGTGGATCAGTGATCTAGGCATTAGACCAGAGACCTTGTGCCTACTAGAAGAAAATGTAGGCCCAACTTTCCATCATGTTGGCTTATAAACTGCCTTCCTTAACAAGACTCCTAAAGTGCAAGAAATAAAATCAAGAATTAACAAATGGAATTGTATCAAACTAAAAAGCTGCTTCTCAGCAAAGGGAACAATCAAGAACATGAAGAGAGAGCCTACAGAATTGGAGAAAAATCTTTGCCACCTGTGATTCAGAGCATTCATCTCCAGGATATATAGAAAATTAAAAAAACTTAACACCAAAAAACAAAACAAAACAAAAAACCCCCCAACAACCCAATCAATCCCAGCAAAGGAATTGAACAGACACTTCACAGAAGAAATAAGAATGGTAAAAAAAAAAAAAAAAAAAAAAAGCAAAGGGAAGAGATAGGGGGTGGGAATAGGAAACACAGTAGACTAAATCGGACATAACATATATGAATACACCACCAGTGAAACTCCACATCATGTACAACCACAAAAATGGGATCCTAATTAGAATGAATTATACTTTGTATCCATATAATATGTCAAAATACTCTCTACTGTGATATATATCTAAAAAGAACCAAAAAAAAAAAAACAATGGTTAAAAGATATGCTAATTAGTAAATGGTAAATCTGGAAAGTAAGGTAGAATCATATTGGGTATCATATATCAGAATGAATTTCATATGGATGAAAGTGTTAAATGGAAAAAAATGAAATGATTAGCAGAAGAAAATGTGGAAGAATTCCTCCACTTCTTTGGAATTGAGAAAGTCTTATTAACTTACTCAAACAAGGTAAAAAATTTAAGCACTTTAAAAATAATTTTCTTCATGCTCAAAACCAAAACAGAATAAAACAAAACCTTCATTAGCTAACTCAAAAGGATTTGTAAAAAAAAAAATAGTTTTAACTTATATACAAAGTAGGGACTGACATCTCTAATATAAAAAAAAAATTAGAAATCAATTTAAAAAAATGTCCACCCAATTGAAAAGTGATGAAATGACAGGAATAGGCAAAAAGCATCAATAAGTTTATGAGAAATACTGTGTAAAACTAGAAATTTAGATTTGTTTTTTATCTGTCAGATTGACAGAAACTCAAATCAGGAAAACCATCTCATTTACAATAGTCTCAAACAAAAACAAACAAACAAACAAAAAAGCAAACCCTAGGCATAAATCTAAACCAGAAGGTGAAAGATCTCTACAATGAAAACTATAGAATGTTGAAGAAAGAAATTGAAGAAGATACAAGAAAATAGAAAGACTTCCCATGTTCAYGGATAGGCAGAATTAATATTATTAAAATGTCCATACTACTAAAGGTAATATTACAGATTCAATGCAATCCCCATCAAAATACCAATGACATTCTTCACAAAACTAGAAATAACAATCCTAAAATTCCTTTGGAAGAATAAAAGACTCAGAATAGCCAAAGCAATTCCAAGCCAAAAAAGCAATGCTGAAGGCATCATGATACCTGACTTCAACTTATACTATAGAGCTATGGTTACAAATATTGCATGGTACTGACATAAAAGCAGGTACAGAATAGAAGACACAGAGACAGACATACACAGACACAGACATCTGATTCTGGACAAAGGTGCCAAAAACATACATTGGAGAAAAGATAGCTATTTTTTTTTTTTAGAGAGAGAGAATTTTAACATTTATTTATTATTTTTAGTTTTTGGCGGACACAACATCTTTGTATGTGGTGCTGAGGATTGAACCTGGGCCGCACGCATGCCAGGCGAGCGCGCTACTGCTTGAGCCACATCCCCAGCCCAAGATAGCTGTTTTAATAAATGGTGCTGTGAAAACTGGTTATCCATAAATAAATGAGACTAAATCCCTGCACAAAAATCAACTCAAAATGGATCAAAAGCCTAGGAATTAGACCAGAAACTATATAGCACAAGCAACCACTTTCTCAATAGGACCCCTAAGCTCAGGAAATAATGCTAAAAGTTAATAAGTGGGATGGCATCAAAGTAAAGAGCTTTTGCACAGCAAAGGAAACAATTAAGAATGTGAAGAAAGAACCTACAGAATGGTAAAAAAATCTTTTTTAGCTACTCTTCTGACAAAGGATTAATATCTAGAATATATAAAGAACTCAAAAAACACTAAAATCAAATAACCCARTTAACAAATGAGCAAATGAACTATACAAAGATACTTCTCAAAAATAAGAAATACAAATGGCCCAACAAATATATGAAAAAAAAAGTTCAACATTATTGGCAGTTAGGGAAATGCAAATCAGAACTACACGGAGATTTTATTTCACTCCAGTCAGAATGGCAGCCATCAAGAATACAAACAATAATAAATTCTAGAGAGGAAATGGAGAGTAAGGAACACTTTTACACTGTTGGTGGGATTGCCAGTTAGTACAATCACTACGGAAGTGGGTATGAAAATTCCTCAAAAGACTAAGAATGGAACCACTGTACCCTCAGTATTTAGCCTAAAGAATTAAAGTCATTAAACTAGAGTGATTCATGCATATCTGWGTTTATAGCAGTAGCCAAACTTTGGAAACAGCCTAAGTATCCATGAATAGATGAATGGATGAAGAAAATGTGGTTTTATACAAATGAGGTTTTATTTAGTCATAAAGAAAAATGAAATTATGTCATTTGCAGAAAAATGGATGAAATGTGAGAACATTATGTTAAGCAAAATAAGCCAAATTCAGAGGGTCAAGGTGTTGCATGTTTTCTCTCATATGTGGAAGCTAGAGAGGAAAAAGGAAAAGAAAGGTTGAGGGGAGGGTATCCTATGAAAATCTAAGGGAGTTCAGTAGAATAGAGGAAAGAGACCAGGTGAGGGAAAGGGGAAATACTGGGGAATGCTGATGGCCAAATTATATTGCATGCATGTATTATTATGAAACAACAAATCCCACCCTCATGTATAGCTATAAAGTACCAATAAAAATATGGAAAAAAATTAAAAAAGTCCTGACAAAAGTTTAAAAGCTTGATAATATCCTCTGTTGATAAGGCTATAGGAAATAGACACACTTATACTTTGCTTGTGAGAGGTTAATTACTATATGTTTTGTGACAATTTGTCAGTATTTGCCCAAATCACTAATGCATATATCCTTTGCCTCAGTGTTTCTATCTTTATGGATTATTCCATAGATTTATTTTCATACATGCAAAACACAGTATGTGTAGTATTATTTATTGCAGAATTATTTACTATAGTATAATATTGGAAACAACTCAATCAGGTACCATTAGCAGCTTGATTCCATAACATAAGCTGTATATGTACAATATGTTTTTATGTCAATATGGAAAAATTTCTTCTATGATTAAGAACAAGATACACAAGAATATGTATAATATGCTAATATGGGCTGGGGATGTGGCTCAAGCGGTAGCGCGCTCGCCTGGAATGCGTGCGGCCCGGGTTCAATCCTCAGCACCACATACCAACAAAGATGTTGTGTCCGCCGAGAACTAAGAAATAAATAAATAAACATTAAAAAAAAWATGCTAATATTTTTGCAAAAAGAGGAAAAAATTAAACTATGTAGTTATCTTTGCATATTTATACCTAGGTAAATGAAGACTATATAAGAAACTGGTAGCAAAGATCACTTGTGTGAATTAAGTGGGGCAAGGACTGGGCAGAAGTTGGCAGGGATGGAAGGAAGTCTGTTTGTAATTCATATAATTATGTAAATGTGTCATTTAAACCATGTGACTGTATTACTTCTTTGAAAATTACCACTATTTTCTTGGACTGTTTCTTTTTCTTCTTGTATGTTTTCCAAGACGACATGGTAAGGTGAGAGACAGTGATGAGGAGAATGACCCAGATGATGAAGATGCTATTGTTGATGCAGTAGGGTGTCTTGGACCTTTCAGTGGGCTCCTGGCACCTGAGCTGCAGAAGTACCAAAAGCAGATGAAAGGTAAAGAGGCTGGCTGTTGATTAGATCATCACATGTGTTGATCACTGTAACAAGGGGAGTTATCATTGGGTCTTACATGTGCCTCAGTAATTCCCTGCACCTGGTTATTGACATTGAAAATATTTATTAGAAATACTTAAAATCAGGGCTGGGGATGTAGCTTCTGGTAGAGCACTTGCCTAGCATGTGCAAGGTAGGCCTGAGTTCAATCCCCAGTGCCACAAAAACAACAACAAAAGAGCAAAAACCAAAACCAAAATCCACTTTATTATTTGATGCCATCTCTCTGTATTGTGTTTTGCATACAGAACATACCTCTTTTTTTTTTTTATGATGACTGTTGCTTCCCATTAATCTGATTCAACTTTGTGTGCTTAGATCTTTAGAACAAAGCCTGGCATATGGTAGGTGCTTGATACATCCATCTGAGTTTAATTGAAATCCATCATAGACTGGCTTCTCTTCCCCTATGGGACTAAATCTTTAACTCCAAAACATTATGGTAACCTCTACTTTAATTTCTTGAATTATGAGAAACTCTTTATTTCATAAGATGCTTTGCTAGATTCTTCTCCTTAGCTCAGGATTTCTAGTTGCAAAGAGTCAGGCTTCATCTACCAGTTCTAGTAGTTCTTCCCTCTGTAACAAAACAGAACAAGTCTGCTCCCCCTTCTATCTTGACATCTCTTCAAATCTTTTAGGACAGCTGTCATATTCCCCAAAGCTTATCTTTAAGACTCAAGTTCAGAATTCTTTCAAGCATTTCTAATACGATATGATTGCAGGCCTTTTAGTATTCTCTTAATTTACCTCTACTGTCCTATAATTTGGTAATGTCCCTCTTAAAATGTGGTGCTCTGGATCAAATGCTATGTCATGTTTACTTCCTGCACAGAACAGACTTCCTGTGGTCTGGGCATTAGCAGTGAATGAGCTCTTTGGAAGTAGTTGTGGTCTGCCCACTAAATTCTTTCCCATTTGATGGCAGCTCTTCCTTAGGATATTTATTCTACCTCTTCTGGTTGGAAGTCCATTTTCTCTGTTCACAGAGGATAGAGATATGCTGAAAACAGAGACAGAGGCACCTCTGCAGCCTCTGTGCCTTCTGCTAACTTTGTACTGCCTTCTTTTTTTGTGCTGGGATTGAACTCAGGGGCACTTAACCAATGAGCCTCATCCCTATCCCTTTTTTGTATTTTATTTAGAGACAGGGTCTCAGTGAGTTGCTTAGGGCCTTGCTAAGGTGCTGAGGCTGGCTTTGAACTCTGCTTCCCTAACTGCTGGGATTACAGGTGTGCATCACTGTACTGCCTTCTTGAAATCATGGGGCTCACCTTTCATTTTTTGGTTCTTGTTTAGAAGGTGGTGGTGGTGGCTGCTGTTGCTGTTTTGGTGTGAGTTTTGTGTATTTTCCCCAAGCCTCAGCTTGTTTTGCATTTGAACCTGCCTAATGGCTGCATTCACACTGCTTTGAGTGTATGTCCGTGGTGTGTGCTGTCTTTCATCTCTTTGAATCCAACAAAATTCCTCTTGATTTCTGTAAAGTCCTCCACCCCTTTCTTGTTACCTGAATTTCAGCTTTTTATTTCAAAATATGGAACTATCTTAAATATAAGTGCTGAAGTTTTTGACTATATTTCTGTAGTCTGGGCCTTTGTTCTGTTTTTCTGTCTGTGCATTTTTGTACTCCAGGATGACACTATCATTTTCTCCTAAATTTTATCATTAGTCTTTATTATTGACTTTGTTCAAATTAATAGTTCCCCTTTTAATTTTCTTCTCTTTTGGGAAGAGAAGGGAATCTATGAGATGTTCAGCTTTTATCTGAAAGACATTCTCAGCAGATATTAGGGTAGCTGAAATCTCTCAGTCTTATTTTAGGTGGTTCCCAGTTCAGTTTGACATATTGTGTTAGGAAAGCCTGCTTCTCTCTCTCCTGCACAGACTGTGAGTGTTTTCTCACTACAGTAATTGCCTGAGCCAAAGGTCCAGATTATAGAAACACAGTCAGAAACTTGAGCACTAGTTTAAAATATTGATTTCATGTCTAGAAACCAATTTGGATATAATCACAATTTTATTTAAGGGACAGCTCTGCAAGTTGTAGATGTCACAGGAGCAGACACCACATCACGTAACATGCATAGTAGACAGGAAGTGTTTGCTAAATGAACAAAACATTCATTTCTAGCAGGTACAGTGTATTTTTAATTTAAGGAAGATGTACTCTTAATGAATGTCTAAACTCTAGAAGCTGTCAATCCCTTATAAATCCTCTTGCAGTTGTATGGAAATCTGCACAATGATTTTAGACATCTGGTGGTATATCTTTCTAAGGGGATTTTAGAAAATCACATTGACTTTTATCTGGAAGCAGTTGTTTTATGTCTGTTTAATGAACAGAGTGGTAACAAAATCAATGAACCCACACAGCTCATTTAAGGACTGGACAACATCTAGTCGTTTTTTTGAGGTTTACAGTTTCCTGAAATACTATACTGTGTTTTAGTGTAATTAAGTCCCATTTAATCCTGGTTCCTCTCCACTGACCTGCTCTTTGTGTGTCTTCCCTGAGTGCAGAACCAAATGAGGAGCAGAGTCTGAAATCCAATAACATTGCGGAGCTGAGTCCAGGAGCCATCAACTCCTGTCGAAGTGAATACCACGCGGCATTCAACAGCATGATGATGGAACGCATGACCACAGACATCAGCGCCCTGAAGCGGCAGTACTCCAGGATCAAAAAGAAGCAGCAGCAGCAGGTCCACCAGGTGTACATCAGGGCAGGTAATGGATTCTTTGAGTCAGTTTCAGTTCCATCTCAACTTGTGCAACGAGGGACAAGAAACCTTCGGAGGGCCTCAGAATTACTAACTGGTGCTCAGTTTCTGTGAACTTAGCTGACAAGACACAATAGCATATTTAGCATCTCATTTAAAATTTTTTTTTTATCAGGCTCTAAAGAAGAAAAAGACCATGGGTTCTTTTTAGGCCCTGAGAAGCAGGCAGTCGATGGTACTACATGTTTACTCTGTGGGCTTGTGGAGAGGGGTTTTACAAATGATGAGAATGTTGCAAAGTCACACAATCCTTGGACTTGAGGAATCTTAGGAATTTCATGCATTTGAAAATAGAATTTAGTCATTGGTGTGCTGGTAAATTAAACTGTACACTAGTCATTTAGGTAGTAATATAGCAGATGTTGTCATCAGGGGAAATGGGAAAAAAAAGCATCCATTGAAAAGCCTGTGCCTCCTAGATGAGTTAGCAGTGTCTGGGGAATGTATGGAACAGTTATAATGCAGATGGAAATGCTCTTTTCCAAGGATTGTCAGGCTTCATCTTTTTTTTTTTTTTTAATTCTCCAAATCTCAGTGAGAAATCAGCTTTATTGTTTAATATATGCTGATTTGGGAATGGGTTTTCTTACTGTAAGTGAATATCCCAATGAAAATTGATGCCTGCCCAGAATTAACTGCGATATAAATGGCTTGGGAGCATGTGACTGATCTGGCACAAAAACTGAATTCACCTTCCAGTTATCAGGAGGAAGAGGCTGCACTTGAAGTATTAAGAAAGCAATCATGAAGGAAACTAGCAATGATACTATTTTAATTTTTAAAACACTGGCACACCTGTTTTCTTATTTTTTCTTAAATCTCTGAGGAAGCCTTAACAGTTGTCCTGGGTTTACAGCTGTAACGAGTGGTCAGGCCAGGGCTAGAGCCGAGGTGTTCTGATTCATCAAGCAGTCCTTTTTCAGGGCACTGTACAGATCTTTGGGTGGGATGGTGAACAATTGCTGTTGGATGTTAAATTGATTCAGTGGCTTATGCTTTAGTCAGCGAGTCAGAAAATTGTGGTGTACAGGCCATATCCTGCCCATGGCCTGTATTTATGAATACAATTTTATTAGAACACCAGTACACTCATTTGCTTACATGTTGAGGCTAAAGTATTTACAATCTGGTCCTTTACAGGAAAAGCTTACTGCTCTAGATCATGGTTTATGTGATTCTTCCACAGAGAGGATTCTTGCTCAGATGCCAAATTCTACAGCATTGGTTCTGAAACTTAGTGTGCATATCAACCACTTGGGGATCTTCTGTTTCAGTAGGTTTAGAGGGCGGCTGAGATTAGGCATTTCCAACAAGCTCCTAGGTGATGTGGGTGTTGCTTCTGGGTAGGGCCCACACTCTGAGTAGCAAGGCTTTAGAGGAGATGACACATGATATGGTTAACCACACAGGAGGAGTGATGAACCTCACCTGGAGGCAAAAGACTTCAGCTTCTGAGACTTAGTGGAAAGAGGTGGTTGCAGTTCTAGCTTCCTGGGTTAGGGAGGATAGGAAATTGATGCCTTTTCAGAGTTTTGCTTTCATGGAGAAATTGGGGGTTATTTGTTATTTGCTGGAATGAGTTGTGGGTTGGGAGTAAGGGGGAGCTTAAGGAAAGTAATGAAGATTTGGGTTGAAAGGAATGGTAGAGGGAAAGAAAAAGATTGTTTGGCATCATTGAGGACCCAGCAAAATAGAAAGTCATGAATTTGAAGGGCTCTGTTTCAGGAAGGAAAATGTGGAATTTGGATTGAGGGTGGGAGTTTTGTCAGGATGTGTGATAGAGGCAAAGGGAGGACTGGACTCTGGGGTACCGGTGAGACAGTGGTCAAAAGATCAGTCTGGTTTCTAGCAGGGTGGGGTGCAAGTGAGACAAAGATACATGAGAGATTATGAGAAGACCGAGGTATCCAGGAACCGGAAGTCTCTGTGGCTCAGTACCGGGTATAATTAGATTAAGGGCCTAAGAGCTAGAAGAGTCAAAGAGAGGAATATTAGAGTTAAATATTTTTCATGTAAGGCAGAGCTGGGTAATAAGCTTTAAGATGGAATTGGAGAGGTTGAGGAACTATGAGAATAGGTAATGGTTGGGCCAGTCACAGAGACAGTAAAAAAAAAAAAACCAAAAAACAGAGACATTAAAAACAACAACAACAACACTGCTGCGGTAAGTAGGACATGAGATGAAGAACAGACAGTTGTCAGTTTTCATTAAAGACTGAGGTGACCCCAGAGGTATATGACAACAGTAGAGAAGAGTGGAAAGAATTGAGCCAGATGATGTGGATGTCAAGGAAGAAGGATGTCCATACATAGATGGAGGGACCTTCTCCAAACTACTTCTGGCTGTTACCACCTTCCTGGGGCCTTCTGTGTTTAATACTGTATCAGAAAGGGAACTTGATAAGAGCCTCTGGAGGAGGTACCACACTTGCTAGCCCTTGGTGCTTTCCAGTTTGCAGTTGGCTGTCAAAGTCCATTGAGACACAGGAGTGGCTCTTTATCCTTAGGTTTTCATCTCAAAATCCCCCAGTGCTTTTTCACCTGGGCAGCGGTGATTCCACTGCAGTTTTGCTACCTTCTTAGCATCTCTCTCACTTCATAATATGCTGTGCATTCTCTTCCTACCTCGCAGAAGCTGACAACTGATTATCCATATGGTCATAATGTTTGTCGAATTATTAAAAAAAAAGTTTTTCCCAAGGTTTTCCAGATCTAGGACCTCTGAGGTTGTTACTGAGAGCAAAAGCTGTCTGTAAAAGACATTAGAGAGTCTGGGCTGTCATGAGGAAAGATGGCTCGGCAAAGTCCCTGTAGTTTTAATTTATTTTTTGTATCCTCCCCCTCCAGTTTCTGCCTCTTTGACAGGAGGAAACTGGGCACCCCAGACACTAGGGTTGAATTCAGTTTCTGCTGCCCTCGGTCACGTGGCTCTGGAAAGGGCTCGGGGAAGACCTCCGTGTGATCACTCTTCAGGTGGGGGGTGTTTCTCTGCAGTGTGTTTCAAACAGCCTTTCACCATTTCTTTCAGACAAAGGACCAGTGACCAGCATTCTCCCATCTCAGGTAAACAATTCTCCAGTTATAAACCACCTCCTTTTAGGGAAGAAGATGAAAATGACGAACAGAGCTGCCAAGAATGCAGTCATTCACATCCCTGGTCATGCAGGAGGCAAACTGTCTCCTGTCCCCTATGAAGATCTTAAAACAAAGCTCAACTCTCCATGGCGAACTCACATCCGAGTCCACAAGAAGAACATGCCGAGGAGCAAGAGCCACCAGGGCTGTGGGGACACCATAGGGCTGATCGAGGAGCAGAACGAGGGCTGTAAGACCAACAGCCTGGGGGCAGCAGAGGAGTTTTCCTCCAGGTGTGCAGCCCCCGCTGCAAAAGAAGGCAGCAGTTCTGAAGGTGGCATCGGTAGGACAATTGAAGGACAGTCTCCAGAGCCGGTGTTCGGGGACGCCGATGTCGATGTGTCTGCGGTTCAGGTGAAGTTAGAAGCCTTGGAACTGAACCAAAGGGATGCTGCTGTTGAAACTGAGCCCAAGGTGCACCCGCCCTGCCAACTGCATGTTCCAGAGCTACCTGATGCCCCTGGAGAAATCAAAGCCACCAGCAAACCTCCCCAAGGCAGCCACTCAAAAACCCCCATCTTTAGCCCTTTCCCCAGTGTGAAGCCACTGAGGAAATCAGCCACTGCCAGGAATTTGGGATTATATGGTCCAACAGAAAGAACCCCAACCATGCACTTTCCTCAGATGAGCAGGAGCTTCAGCAAATCCAGTGGCGGGAATAGTGGCACTAAAAAACGATGATGTCTCCTGGCCACTGTGCTGGACTCGCCTCTGCGCGCTGTGTAAGGGTTCCAGCTGCACCCGTCCGGTTTCATTTGCCAGTGAAGCTGAATAAGGAGGTTCAGAGATGAGCAACAACATTCCATAAAGCTGGGAACGGAGAGTTTTATGATGGAACTGAAATAGGGATGTTTTCTCTCCACTGGAGAACTGATGGAGTGGACTTTCATGACAGAATTGATATTGTGGTTTTAAAGTGTGAAGTTTTCCCAATTTTTCCTTGTGAGCTATTTAGAAAAGATTATCTAGACTGTTAAGCCTTCTTTTGTCCTGTCCTGAGGGCCTTTCAGGATCCCTGGGACAAAAACCCCAAAACCTTCCAGTTCTCTGGGTGTTACCCAAGCATGTACACAACCAGTTTGCTAGAACAGAAAAACTGTAAAAAGAAAATAAGTTTCTCATTTGCAAAAACTTCCTGATTTTCTTCTTCCTGCTCTATTGGGTGTGGTGGAGGGGACGTTTTGTGCGTGTGGATTTTCCCTCAGTATCTGTCTCCAAATTGTTTTTTTTAATTCTTATGCTAAAGCATAGGAGAAAAATTGGTAACCTTTCTGTTTCTACTGCCAAATGAAGAAAACCTTTAATCTGTTAAAATTTAGGTTGATAACCAAATTGAAGGTCATATGCAGAGAACAGAAGTTAATAAGCATTAAACAGTCGCCCTGAACTGCTTGCTAATTCCACTCAGCTTCCCCACCCCAGGTTTATTTTCTCCTCTCCGGAAGAGCATGAGTCCTCAGTGGTACAGAGGACTCAATGGCTCTGCAGGGAGCTTCTCCTGCGTCCTCAGCCATGCAGCTCATTTACCTACCAGCTCTCCATGGCAGGTGCACACAGCCTCTGCTCAAAAGCCAGAACATAGCACCTGCGACTCTGTTACTTGAATTTTGTGCTTTTTTTTTTTTTTTTTTTTTTGGGATTGGAGTACTTTGTTACTTGAACACTGCCTTTCTCTGGAGAAGGACTCAGTGCTTTCTAGCTCTCTCTCACTCACTCCACTCCTGCCCTGGTCCCAGTGGGTCAGAGATAGCACCTTTTGTCTCCACTATGCAGTTGGGAACTCTGAGCCACACAGAGGTGATATAGCACTTGAATTTACTCGAGGTAAATACTTTGGTATTCCTTGTGACTTAGCCACGTGGAAACTTAGCCAGTGCAGTAGGTGGGCTTAGTGCTCTTTGTGCACAGATAACACTGACTACAGAGCTTGGACCAACCAAGACTGGGAAGCCATTCACACTCTCTCCTGACTCCAAGGCTCCAAGGACTTCTCTCTAGGTGTTCAGGTCCTGTGATGATGTTTCAAAAAACCAGCTCTGACCTCTTTACCCTGAAAAGGTAGTTCATTTTAAAATGCTTCATGTCCCCGCCCTTTGGCTGAACAAATGGATCAGTCCTCAATCCCCTTCTCCTGACCAGCATTGGAAGAATGGATTGACATCTTTATCTTCACCTCTGAAAGACCTTGGCATGCTTACAGGAATATTGTTGATGCCATGAATATGAATTTGATCTAATTGGTTTGCTAATTCTGAAGCCAAAGCTATAATTGTAGAGAAGGTTTTTTTTTTTTTTTTTTTTTTTTTAAACTGGGAGAGGTACTGATTTTTATAATAAGATAGAGTGTGGTTATGTGGACTTTTAAAAACAGAAAACGTAAGAATGACATATACCATGAGAAAAGCCATTTTTTCCCCCTTTGTGGTATTTTTACCCCCAAAGGAACTGAAGATGGGAAGCATGACTAACAAGTGATTGCAGTTTGAGCCTTGAGTCTGTGCCATCTGCATGCAGCTTCTTAGCAAGCAGCTACACCCACAGCCTGTTTCCCTGGGAAGGGAGTGGGTGGAGAGTCGGGCTGACTTTGCCTACCACCCCCAGGAATTGAGACCCACTGCATTTAACAAAGTTAAGTAAATGGCATGATTTTCTCCCATCTGTTAAGTTTTGCAGATAAGAATGGTTCCACCTCTTTCCCCTCCCCCCAGTCCCACATGCCTCACAATGGTCACATTCCCCTTGAAGGTTGTTCAGCTTGAACAGGGAATTGTTCTTTCCTCTCAGGAGTCGGATGGCTGTCTCCTGGTTGGGGTCGACGGGTGGTGAGGTGGAGCTGTCCACCGGCTATCTTAGTGTTGGCCCGATCACGGTCTCTTCTCACCCACTCTGGGGCTGGCCTTCCTGAGGAGAGGACAGATAAGCTGGCACATGGTTTGGGATAACTATTGGTTGGATGAATGAGCAACTGGAAGGGTGACAGTCCTTTGAGGTAAAAATGACCTTGTCAGAATTTTTTAAATCCAGCAGTTTTCCTGTTAAAGCACTCTCTACCAATAACACATGCATGCCTGGTACCAAGTAATCACGATGTGAGTCCACCAACTTACGAGTCTTGCCTACTTTAGAAAATAAATAAATGTGCAGTAGCCTCTACCACTCAGCATGTACCAAGACCAGTACGGACTTGCTCTCTTCCCCACGTATTGGACTGTATGCAAACACCAGAAGTTCTTAATGATTAGCAGTTCCTTTATTCTAGATAAGTCTACCCTCCCAGCACCTTTTCTGGGAGTCAATTCTGCACCTCAGTCCTCTTTAAAAAGCCTCCAGATGATCTAAACCTAGTTTGTAATGTCGACCTATGGGCTGTAACTGTTTAAAATCCTGTATTCCTGCTTTTTTTTTTTTTTTTTTAAATTTTTTGGTCTCTTTTGTCCTGAAGAGTTGTACTGATTACAAAGACATATGCATAAAAATTCCCATTGTGTGGTGGTGGTTGCATTTTCTGTCTGAGTACATGCATGAAACGCTGTGGTGACCTTTCCTCTTCTTGTCACTCCCTCCTCTGCTCCCACTTGGTCACGTGAACCAGGGAACCAGCCCAGTGAGCTCTATGTTCCCCCAGTCCAATCACTGGGTTGCAGGGTGTCCGTGACTCACTCTCAACTTGGCAGAATCGCTGGTTCCTAAATGTAACTAAACAGGGTGTGTGTGTATTTGTGCGTGAACATATATGTGTACACATGTAGATTATCCTTTAGACCTACCCTCTTCCTTTGTTTTAATAAAATAGAACAATAAGAATCCAATTGAACTTCATGGTCTTGAGGAGTCTAAATGAATAGAGAGCTGTGACCAAGTGTGCAGCTGCTGCTGTCTCCCATTAGAATCTCTTTACGTTTCTGAACTACTTTCTTTGCTGTCTACAGCAGTCATTTGAGGTAGTATTTAAAGTATGTTATTTTTCCTAATCAGAAAAGTAATACATCTCTTAGAAGATTTAGAAGACACAAAGCCCAAGGAATCATCGATATTCTGGCATAGATATTTCTAACACATCCTAGTGTGCGTGAGTGTGTGTGTGTGCACAATTATCTGCAAAAAATGTATGTTGAGCATACTAGTTTTAGCTGTTTTTCCAATAAATTCTTTTCTGCAGCACCATTTTCAGTGATGTGTTCTTGCCAGAATTCACATAATCAATACTTTGTTGTCAAACGGGTTTTCTGATTGTTGAGGCATTGGGGAGAGCAGCCTCATAAATGCATCTATGTACATAGCCTTGCTTGTTTTCCTGTTACATTTGTAGAAAGGGAATGTTGGGGATCCAAAACGTGTCTATTTAAAAATATATGTATCTTCATAGTACCATCCTTAAAAGCTGAACTTACAGGAAGTGAAGGCAGAAGGATCAAAAATTCAAGCTCAGCTTGGGCAGCTTGGCAAGTCCCCGTCTCAAAATAAATAAATAATTAGATAAATAAATAAATAAAAGCACTGGGGATAGGGATGTACCTCAATGGTAGAATGCTTACCTAGCATGGGTGAGGAGGCCCTGGTTTGATTCCGAGTACCATGAAACAACAATAAGACAAAACAAAAATAAGCAAAGGATATTGAGTTTATAGATTTCTTTACATCCTGGAAGATGCCTCTCTTCTTTCCTTTAAATTTTTTTTTTTCCTTTTAGAAATTCCAGTGTTGAAGTGGAATTATCCTTAAGATTTTGCTGGGGTGTCTGACAGGTACTTTTCATCGTAAGGAAATTATCTTTTTTGTAAGTTTTTTTTTAAATCCACAACTGTTGAATTTTGTCAAATGAACTCTAATTTCATCTTTTGAGAAGGGAGTAGTGCTTAAGAGTTGATGTCTTGAACCCAAGAAAAATGAAGTGTGAAATGTTCCAATGTTCAGTTGATGTATTACATTTACTACTAGAAATTTGGAAACAGTGTAAACATGTGAGAATAGGAGAAATAGTTGGCTGAATTATGGTTTCTCCATAGGATGGACATGCAATGAGTGGGCCACTGAAATGAGAATTTATTATCAACACCAGGAATTTGACTTAAGTCAGCAAAATTGGGAGTTCCAGAGCCAATGGGATGCAGCTGTGAATGGGTTGGGGGTTCCTACTGGATGGTGGCTGGATTCAGAATGTTTGTGTGGTTCTTCCACAAAGGCAGGCTGTGCTCACAGTACTGAGGACTGAATGGGCACTGCTTGGACTGGCTTCCATGCATTTCCCTGAGGGCCATCTCCTGATGCTGAGTGACTCAGTTCTGCTGCTATAACAAAATACCATAGACTGGGTGGCTTCAACAACAGACATTTCCTTCTCAGTTCTGAAGGTTGGGAAATTCAAGATCAAGATGTTGGCTGATTTGGTCTCTAAAGCTCCTCCTTCCTGGGGTGTGTGTGTGTGTGTGTGTGTGTGTGTGGGAGAGAGAGAGAGAGAGAGAGAGAGAGAGAAATGTGAGCTAGCTCTCATATTGCTGCTAGAGTGATCTTTGAAAATAATAACTGAAGGAGTCATCTCTCCAGTGAAAATCCTTCCACCAGTCTCATTTTCTGAAGAATAAAAGCTAACATCTTTAGCATAATCAAGCCCATGGGTAATTTTCCATCTTATTTTCCCATGATCTTCCCCATTTGTTGCCTTCTGTGACGTACTATTTCAGAACATCAGTATCAACCCTTTTCTGAGCTTGATGGGCCAGGCACCGCGCAACT